TAATATAAGTGTTAATGAACCGGTCCATATACTCAAAGTTTACCTTCAATTCTACTCTGACACATGAGCCTAAGTTACATAAGCGAGTCTCTACTTGTCGGGGACAGACCAAAGATTTTCTTTGTTACCCAAAAAAAAATGATTTAGCTTAGCTAAATCATTCCTCTCTCTATGTTTACAAGCCAAGTTTAAATTCTAAAATGGTGGTCTCAATCTAACCTAAAGCGAGTTTACATTAAAAAAAAAAAATTCCCAAAAGTGGGTGTCAAAGCATAGAATCAATCTCTTGTCTGAGCTTTTTGGAGATAAATAGAAGTGCATGGTACTGTGGTAGTGCCACAGCAAGAGTCATTAAAAATACACAGCAATCTCAACTGCGCATGTTTAATTCCCCACTACGAAAAGAAGGGCATAATGGAAAGGGGAAAAAGTTTAAAAAGTATAGAGGCAATGGAATTAATACCTTTTTATGTTTCTGATTATGAGATTCTTATCCTACCTATAAATCATTTTTTTTTCACCCCCTATAGAAATGTATTGTCTGAAACCAAAATTTCTTGTAGCAAAAGACAATAATTCATAAAAAAAAAATTACTACTTTCAATTTATATATATATATATATAGACACACACACACACACACAAACTTATAGCTTTGTAACTAGAACTAGAACTAGAACCTGCGTGTCCTCTTTCCCTTGCTCTAGGTCCAATCCCTTTAAGTAGTAACCTTTAGATCAATATAAAGGTAGGTTATTTCCCTTTATCCTATAGTCATTCAGTTCCATTCAAGCTTAATTTTGTCTGAATATTCGTGAAAGAAGAAGAATTATTTCACCAATCACTACATCTATGGATCTCACTAGATCATTAAATTGGGTGACTGCTTGCTCTTTGATAAGTGATTCACTAGCCACTATATCCAAGGACCAAGTGTGCTTCAAACGGCTATAGGCTTTCAATCCAAATCAACTATATAGCTAAACGAAACCAAAAATAAGTACGAATGTGTATGCCTATAATTATGTAAGGAGTTTTTGTTTTTTTGGGTGTTTGACATTGATACTAAATGTTATGATTGATTCTAAAATAATGTAAGGATAAGTCTATAGTACTAAACAATTTTTCTTTTGGTGTTTGTCATTGATCCTAAATGTTATGATTGATTCTAAATTTTAGATAAAACCCCAAAACCCTAGAAAGTGATAATTGATTCTCAAAAAATTATAAATTGACCCTAAATATTACGTTGAATTAGTATAATTGATCTTAACTTTTTTTACCGTAATTTGTCCGAAAAAAGGTGCATTTTAATATAAAAAGGTAATAATTTTTGGTACCATATCTTCTTCGACACCCAAGTCCAGCATATAAGTAATCATAGTTACCCTTTTGAAGAGGATAATGCCCACGGTGTTCTAGTCAATGGTGCTCTCCCTCTACCAACCAAATATAAAATTTGAAAAATAATATCTATTAAGATTGTTTTTGTGACTTATATTATTATATTGGTTTAAAGTCCAAATTTCTTTAGATGTCAACTTGTTTTATACACCATCTCCCACTTCTTCTTCTTTTGGTAAATAAATAAATCCCCCACTTATTTTAAATCAACAGCTCATGTTACCAATTCAAAAAAAAAAAATTATGGTTTTTGAATCACAACTCCAATAATATTTAATTTCCCACAATTATTGTTAATAGTAATAGTCGCGAAATCCCCTATATTTATCCATTAATATATGTTTATTGTCTAACATCAAATAAAATTAAGAAAAAATAGATTTGAGAAAATATGGAACAAGTTATGTATTACCTTTCTCGTTTTGTCATGTAACTCTCTGTAGATTCATTTTCTTTTTTTGGGCATTGGGGAAGAAAGGAATTCGAAGTTCTATTCCTGGTCAAGTGCATAAAATAAAGTAGAATCATGCAACACAGTTGCTGGTGTGTTTCACAATGGGAGTGAATTACCTGAAAAAAAAAATTCCAAAGAAAAAAAAAAAAAAGATCAGTCGACAACGAAAATTATTGGGTACTGTATTAATGAGATTCAACAGTAAACAACTACCCTAAAGAAAAACCACGTGGAAGTCCAAAGATCTTTAAGGCCTGTTTGGTACACGAGACAAGAGGGAATTTGGAAGATGGGTTGGGAATTAAAGTTCACAAAACCCATTAAATTCATGTTTGGCACTTACATTTCCAGCCAAGGTTACTAAACCTAGCCCGTTTTAGGCCCCCAATTTAAACACATGTTCGTGGGGGATGGGTTTCATATGGGGTTAAAGGTTGAACATGCAAAATAATATTTATACCTCATATCACCCATATACCCCAAATAATCAAATATTTATACCTCAAATAATCAAATATCAAATCATAAGGATACAAGAAAATGTACGTATATAAACATGAGTTTGAATTAAATTAGTTAAGGGACACAATAGTCATATATATAAAAATATATTACCATAATAGTGATATATTCATACACGTACCAAACATGAGTACGAATGACATTAAATGTTAAATTTTATCGTTATAAAGAGGGGTTTGAGTTTGAAAAGATTTAGACAAGTCAATCCAAACCTCTTCCAAAAAATCAATCAAACAGGTCCTTAAAACTATATTCTATCGGTGAACCAATATCCTATGAGCTTACCCCTTTCTTCTTATTTTTTTTAGTTCAACAATTAGGGGTGTTCGAATTAATGTATATGCACCTGAACTAATTCTTTGTCGATTCGATCAAAGGTAAGTCATCCACACCAAAAATATAATATTTATGAGAGACAAAATTCTCATGATCTAACCCTTTCGTACGTCGTAATCCTACTCTTTTTAATTGTGTCATGGCCAAGAGGGCATGCCTTTCTCTTCTATATAATTTATTTCCTTTCTCTTCTTGGCCCATTAACAGCTTTCTTTAGTTCCTTAATAGACATTCATTTGTAGTGATATTTGCATTATAATGTCGACAAATACGATTGCATTCCTGGTCAATTCCATCATTGCCAAGAAAATATCACCTTCATAACACGTGCTTCATGCATGCTACAACTTAATGATCAATTATGCACAACATTTATGATCACAAAAGCAAAAATTTTGTAATTTGTTTTACTATTTTACCATTAATAAGAAGGGTCTATTTTCCTCAAAAGCCTACAAAATCATCACTAGAAATATATGTTTTTTCGATTATAATCCCTATTATGAAGCAGCCTATTATATATATATATATATATATATAATTTTATCACAAGATCATATTGATGAGTAATGAATTTCAATTAAAATGTAATGAGCTTTTACAAATGTACCATCGCCACCCTAACTACCAATCACCCCACTAATGACGTGTTTTGTTCAATAATAACAGCCAAAAAAAAAAAAGATTAGATTATTCGGTCCATTCAAACACATAGTGTAGATTTTGGGCCTTAGACTGAATATAGTTTTTCGGGTGAAGTATCAATCTTGTATTTGATCTAGAACTGGATTAGATAGATGGGACTCACATGTACATTTTTTTTTTGTTTATTTAAATTTCTTGAATTCTTGAGGACAAAGAGAAGAACACGCCAAAGTATCAAATCTGTTCAAGTATTATTAGGCTTTTGAAGGATACACAAATTTTAATTGCACATTATTTGTCGGTCCTAAATATATCTCAAAATTTTGTCTCACCTGACAAATTTGGGAAATATCACCTATACACATTTATTTTTACACTTTACTCAAGTCTCACCTAAGATTTTTAAGCCTAAATGTACGACGCAAATGCATGATAAGTGAAATACCGAAAAATTTTAATTGAATCTTGTGATTTTATAATTAACCACATATACCAAAATCTAAAACAATCAAAGTTAAATCCACCACAATTTCATTATTATAAATAATTTTAGAAAACTGCCCTTGCAACTGCTTTACTGCAGCAGAGGTCAACTAATCATCAATGGCTCTATAATAGTAACAGCAATGCCATGCAATATTTTAGCAATTGCAGAGCACATGCTCTCAAAATATGATATTAAATTCTGAAGTAAACCATTTTTTAATTAAGGATAAGGAAGAATACTTTCTTTTTTTGGGTTAATTGCAATATGCTCCCTTCAACTTTGAATAGTTTGTCATTCATTCCTTTAAGTTTTAATTTCAACAAATAGCTTCTTTTAAGTTTGATTACTTTATAATTAACCCCAACTGTAAATTTTAGAACAAAAAAATTTGTAGAAATTAAACATAAGAAATTCATGTAATCTCTACATTGTTGAAAATATATAATTACGTGTGTGTGCATGTGCATTGGGTGTAGTTGGAGTTGGAGGCGAAGGTGAAAACGGACATGGTGTTGATTGAATGTATTTTTGTATTGGCTTTTTCGTTCTCTTATTTTTCAGGGATATGATTGGTATCTCACAAAAAAAATATAAAAAATAATGTATATGATAAAAAGTGGTAATGATATTTTCTTGTTTCAACCACTTCTATCAAATCAATTTCATCAACTTAAAACTTGGAAGCGATAAATTGTAGCATTTGGTGAGATAAGTTGTAAATAACCCTCATCTATTGCTATCATTTATAATAATACTATGGGTAAATTGTGTGCAATATGAACGGTTTTGAAATAAATGTTACTGATCATTGAATGAGATTATTTGAGACCGTTGAATAAATTTATTAAAGTCTGTCATATTTTATATTATAGATTTTTTAAAAAATATTTCAGTTTGGAAATAAATTTAAAATTTTATGGGTTTGAAAATTAAAATTTTAAAAGGAAGAGATATAATTATTAAAAATAAAATTGTAATCCCAATTCCCAACAAACGCAAAGGGAAAGTGGTTATGAGTGACAGATCCATAGTTACAGAAAGTAACAAAAGCTTGGACTTAACTCATCTTACGTTAGCTGCCCTCCTTCCCCATTTTTAACGTCCCTCACTTTAATGCACCTCTCAGTTCTCTCTCTCTCTCTCTCTCCATATACGTTGTATATACATTCTCTCTCTCTGTATATAACAACAAATAGGAGTGTAGAGAAAAGCCAAGGTCAAATACACCTGTGCTTTCTTCATAAACCTTGAGCAAGAACCATTACCACCTGTGATCAAATTGTTGCAAAACCCTAGTCTTATTTTGTCTCTTCTAATCTTCTCTTCCATTTCCGACCTTCTTTACCAAATGGGTCGGCATCTGTAGATATATAGGAGTGACACATATATAATATAGACAGAATCCAGTGAGATTACATTCAGAGATCACCCAAATCTGAAGAAGCCCATTTCTTCTCATCTCTATATAGAGATAGAAAGATTGGGGTTTGATAGAGAATCAAAGAAAGCTGCTCTACTTTTAGTAGAATTTGTTTTCTTGATATTTCCTTTGGGCTTGTGGGCTTTTGATTCCATGGCTGTTGGTGCAGAAGTGTCTGGTGAGACAGCAGTGGAAGTTCCTGTTGTTCAACCTTCACCAATCGCTGACACTGCCGATGCTAATTCTAATAACAATGCTATACCTTTATCTAATGGTGTGCAGGACTCTGGTTCGAATTCCAATTCGAAATCAGAGCTTCCAATGACTGACCTTACCAACATGTTGTCCAATTTGAAGTTGAATCCAATGGCCAAGGAGTTCTTTCCTTCGTCCTATAATCGTGATCAATTGGCTGTGAATAACGTTGTGACAGCTAATATGAATTCAGGCAATGATGGCCACCCGAATAATCGGAGGGTATAAAATTTTTGATTCCCTATTTTTGACAGAATTGACCATGACTGCCACTGCTCTTAATTCCATTTAGAATTTTGATTGATCTGTCTTTGTTAGTTTATCATCTCGGATGTTAGTTTTGTTTTGTGTCTGTCTTTAAAATTTTAGTCTTTAAGGGTTTCATATTTAAAATTCTTCTTATTATTGTTAGTTATAAATGCAATTTCAATTACTACTGAATTTTCAGGTCTTTTGTTGGAGATAGGTTTTAGAATTCTGCTTTGTAACTCACAAATTCATGTGTTTATGCCTGCATGCTTATGATTCTTGCTGTAGTCATTGCTTGATGTGATTTGAACTGAGTTTCAAAAATGACATGCACATTGGTTTGTATTGTGAAAAAATTTTGATTTTCGACATTCTGTTTGTTAGGAAGGGATTTTTACACATTCAGTTTGTTTTCATATTTGAACCCAGTTTCCAAACTGAAGTGTACATTCTCGTATCATGGGAAAATTAATTTTTGGTATTTGGTTTGTTGGAAAGAGATCCTGACATTCAATTTGTCGGTTTCGTAAAATTAGATATGGGGATAATCTGCCCAATCATTCCTTTTTGGTGTAATTATTGACTAGTGTGATTCAGATTGAGTTTTTGTACTGTAAGGTGTTTCCGGTTAGCCATATGTCGAGGTTCCCCTTGTCGTTTTCGTATACATCAAACCAGAATTTTAATCTGTTTCTTTGCACCTGTTTGGCTTTAGAATTTAGCATGTGCAGTGTGATCAGTAGAAAGGCTTTTTAAGGTCCAGTTGGTTGTTTCTGTTTTATCATTGCATGGTTATTACCCATATCGTGTTTATTAATCTATTGCATTTGCCGCTACTTTAACTTTTGGATTGAATCTCTAAAATCATACTCTGTGAGATTTAAGTTTGTATTTTCTGTGTGTCTGTTAGTGAGTTTTATTATTGTCTTCATGGCATTTATATCTTTACATTTAATTATTGATTATTTTGTTTATGCCAAAGTCAATTTTAAACAGGGTTTCTAGACGGAAGATGTGTTTTTGTTGTGGATCATTGAACTTAGCTGATTTTATTTGTGTTCTCATTTGTGTTCCACCTATGCACTTATTAATTGTCTGTATGATAATGCCTGGTTTATTGAATTGAATATCCAATTGCATGTGTTTCTTATGTAGGAAGATTTCTTTTCGGGGTTTAGTTTGTTACTTTTGGACAGTTTAAGTATTTTAATTCATGCATTTTTGGAACTTGACCATTATTATGCTCATAATTGAGTTCCTGATTTTTTTCTATCAAAAAAAATTGAGTTCCTGATGTTGGATGCTCATATTTTGTTGGTACCTGGTTATCTTAAAAGTCATTTTTTTTCTTTCTGGTTTTGTCCATTGAGTTTTTTTTTTTTTTAATCATATTGGTTTTTGGGAAAATGAACACGTGATTTTGTGCTAAATCAAATGCCTCTCTTTTTGCCACACAGGCCTACATTGCTCAACAATAATGGTTTGGGCTGGATTGTTATGATTTGTATTGCAGTTTGATTGTCACGTGTTTTTTTTTTTGTCATTTTGTCACTAATCCTCAGTTTTTTCATCTATTTTTTTGTACATGTTCAAGGAATAATGATAAATGGGTTGAAATAAGTTTCTATTTGCTTAGATTGTGTTTTATTAATGGACTCTGTTTGTGGATATTTTCTCATTGAAAAGAATTTCTTTCATACCTTATAAATGTGAACTATTGTATTGCAACAACATGTCTAAAGCTCTGAATACCTTTTCTCTTTCAAGAACTTTTCTGAACTGATATTGATTTTGTAATGCTCTTCTATGCTTTCTGTTTTTCTAACGTATTTTCAAATCAACATTTTTTGGTTTTGCCAGAGGAGAAATAACTATAACCAGAGCAGGAGGCGGCTGAGTGGGAGAGCTTTTAGAGCTCAAAGAGATGATAGTATTAGGCGAACAGTGTATGTCGCTGACATTGATCATAGTGTAAGTAAAAACAAACAGAATTGTTTGTGCTTGTTGCAGTGAATGGTCTATCAAATCCACATGATCTTTAAGAAGTTTTGCTGACAAACCCTTAACCTCTTCAAATTAGGTCACTGAAGAGCACCTTGCTACCTTGTTTAGTAGCTGTGGACAAGTAAGTCATCACGTTCATCTGAAAGTCAATTGATTTGTACTACTATGTTTGTGGGAAATGTACTTGAGTGCTTTAGTAGATGCAAACGTGGTGATTGTCATTTAAAAATTCTAGTTAAAAAGAATTTGCTTTCTTTGTGAATCAGTTTTCTAGTGTAAAACTAATTGCACTTGAATTTTTTAGGGTATATGTTCGTGGATCTTTTTTTGCTATGAGAAATGAGACCTACAAATGGAAAACTGAAAGCTTCTTAGTGTTGCATGTTTGCATTTTCCGTGGAAGCATTTTAATGTTGGATGTTCTATTTTGTTGGTCTTGAATGAGTCTTATTGGCTGCGTACATATTTTTAGTTATTATGTAACATAGATATAATGAGTCTTATTGGCCACGTACATATCTTTTGTTATTATGTAACATAGATATCATTCATTGCTTTATACATATTTGCGGATATCTATACAAATACTCATATACATACAAGGACACTACCATTGTAAGGGATCTGTGGACATTCATAACATTATGCTTTTGCTATCTGTTGGTTTCTTTTTCTGAAATGGTAAGACAATATCAGAAATCAGAGTAGCTATATAGGGAAGATGTTAATTTAGGCTTCTCGGAGTTATTATCATTTGGTTTCTATTTCATCTCGTTTCCTTTCTCTGCGTATGGCCTGCGCTTGTTGAACCTCCTATGAAAGCTAATAGCAGATCCGTTGATAGAGTGCCTGTCTCCACTGCATACAGGTCGACATTGGAAACAAAACTCAAAAACAATACCTTTGCATGCTGTAGGAAATTGCATCTGCTGGCATCAGTCGTAGACTAGCATTCTTTATTCTTACACCCCATTGCCTTTTGTTTTCTCATCCATTGGACAAAGAGATTTACAAACCTCGCCGTTTCCTGTTTTAAGAGTTTTCCTTCCATAGGCTGTCGTGCAGTTTTTGCGGCTTGTTTGTTTTTGATCTATCCAATCCTGTTAGATTAGGATTTCAGGACTTATGTTCTCGAACTGGGTTCTGACCGAATAGAGTGCGGAGCCAATGAGTTCAGTTGAACAACGTCATGAGTCTAAGGGTGGGATCAAGCTTGAAAGGAGTGGATGGGCATAGGCTTAATAGTGAAGGCAGACTCCCTGCTTATAGATATGAGATCAATGACTTAAAAGGCAGATGTCGAGAGAAACTATTAGACTTCTTTATTGCGTTGCGAAGAGAGATCGCAGATGAAGATTTTCTGATGCAGTGTAGGCATTGGATGGAAAAGACAAAGAAGGGAACAACCCACCAGAAAGGCATACCCCAAGGAGCACCAATCTCCCCCAGCAAACATCTATCTGCACGAAGCCGACCTATGGATAGAAAGAAAGATGCAGGAAAGGAAAATGAAATATGAAAGAAAAAGATGTTTTGGGGCCAACCGGAAACGGAACAAATGCTGTTGTTGCTTCTACGTTCGCATGACTTCGCTCTCGTTGTGCATGGACTTCATAATTGAACTAAGAGGGATCGGGCTGTTGGCTCAAAGAAAGTTTGTTTGGGGAAAGAATAACAACAAGCTTTTAAGGCTCAAAAATAAAAGAATTCTTTTCCATGGGTGGTGGGAGGGGAAGGTAAAGTAAGCAACTCAGAAAGGTCAGGTGGTTTTATATCTTAGACTACACATGGAGTCCAAGTGGTAAGGCATCAGTTTTTTTGGTGGAACAAGTGCCTTAGATACGAACTCCAATCAAATAAGTGACAATCATTCGAATGCGTTGGTAATTGGTATCAATCAGTAAAGTATGTTCTCAATTTAAGAAGGCCAGCAGTGGTTGTATGATGTCAACAATAAGAAATGTGGACACTTCTATCAAGGAGACATCCCTTGTCAAACACCAATTCTCTGACAATTGTGGACTAACTTTCAACACATTTTCAATAGTTGGAACAAATCTAATGATTTTCGGCAATTGGTGGATACTTCTTGGGACACAGAATTTAAATCTACCGGAAAACTTATTTATGTTGATTCACTTACACACACTTCGCTGGCTATAGCTTGGAGGCATCCTTGAATGGTTTCATTGGAAAAAGGTGGACCTCTTCTTGTTCTAGTATAACTTACCTATCTCTCTTAAAGTTTTCCTACATGTTTATTGAGCTATTGCTTCTTACTCTCTTGTTTTTCTTTCCTTGAATAGGATTCTTTTTGTCATAGGTTTTAGTTCAGTGAGCTTTTGTGATGTGGAAATTGAACTTCTGATTATCTAGAAGATGTTTCCATTGTTTTGTGGTTAAGTTGAATGTAAACGTCTTTTTACTCCATGTCTTGTGGGGATTAATATTTTGAACCTTTATTGGGCAGAGTATCAAGAAGTTTGTGCCATAATAGCATCTAGGCTGCCAATGCACTGATTTCATGGGATGTGGAAACTGGAGTAATCAACATATTTTGTATAAATTAATGCAAATATTTTGTATAAATCAATAAAGTCTTTCATTTAAGCTTGATTGGTTGTGCCACTTCTTTCTTTTAGTAGCATTTTGAAGTTCTGCGTGGATCATTAGATATGGTTACTTTTCCTCCTATGGTCTTGAGGATATGGAACTGAAATAATACACTTCCATAATTGGAGAAAATGTGTTGATTGGAAAGTTAACTTCAGTGGAAATTATAGTCTACATGTGGGTAGAAATATTTCGAGCAATGATCTTTGAGCAAATATACAAAGAGTTTTGCTCTATCAAAGAATTTCTGATTATGATGGTGGACCTTGGCGGCACGGTAAGGTTATTCCATTGTAACCTGGAGGTCACGGGTTCGAGTCATGGAAACAGCTTTTCTGTTTGTAGGGGTAAGATTACGTACATCTAATTCTCCCCAGACCCCGCAATGGCGGGAGCTTCGTGCATTGGGTACGTCCTTAAAGAATTTTTGATTATGTGTGATTAGTAGGGGTTTAAATCAAATGACCGGAGCATAGAGCCAAAACGAGAGGGTGAGTGGTAAAGCATCAATTTTGAAAAATGCTCAAGAGAATGTTTGTCGGAGCACCTATACAAATTGAAGTACAAAATAAGCAATAGAAAATACTTATAAGAAAAGGTGTGAACCTGTAAAACAAGCCCAATAAACACATGTTCAATGCTTACCTAATGGTTACTATGATCTTTGTTTAACTCCGATGCAATGGGATTTGGTTAATTTAAGTTCTTGATTTTATCAAGTCCTATGATCCTATCGTTGTTAGGAATGGGGTTTAGTTGTATCTTTCTAGTAGTTATTCTAGAAACCTCTTGTTATAAGTTTAAGTATTTTTAAGTTGTTATTTGACTTAACTTTCTAAATGCTTCCACTCGTACTTGTAATTAGGTCAAGAAACCAACTTTCATTGAAATCCAATCTATTCGTAGTTTAAGATCATTATGCTTTCATGCAATTTGAGTTTTGGGGTCAAGGTCCAAAGTAACGACCGATACCGATACGAGCCGAGTTGTATCCGATTCAGTACCTTTCGAGATAATACCGTTATTGGATATGTATAAACTGAATCTCTCTTTATGTTCAACATTTTTTTTTAAGTTATACTGCCCGATACGACACCACGATGCACGGCTGATGTGTCTCAAAGTTGTCCGAGTTGATGGTCAATTCTGTAACCTTGAACCATGGATGGGGTATATAAGAGTATTTTTGTTTTTTCACCACGCTACTATCAAAGTGCTGATGTTATCACTGACATATGGAAGATCGCAAGAATGTAGTTTGTTTAGAATAGTGTCCTATTAGTTGGTTTTTAAATAAGATAATATGGGTGAATTTATTATGTGATTTAGATGCCACACCTAGGCTTCAAGCTTACAGTATTGACTATTGACGCGAGGGGCACTAAGACGATTTGGTTGCAGCAACATGGATAGTATCCACAAAATGATAGGCAAAAAAAAAAAGTTGGACTGTGAGTCAATGAAGATGACTCGGACGATTTGGCCAAGTCGGCAAGACGTGCCCGAGTCACACTTATCAAGTCCTTCCCACACTTCACCAAACAAAGCGAGAGGAGTCTTGGTCAACATACAGTCCTTACTTAGGAAGCACTGATACAGATATAGGTACAATATGATACGAACACATCAATGCTGCAAAACCTAAAAAGTTAGAATATGGATACGGCTTGGATATTTCTACAAAAAATATAAAAAATATTTTCACTATGAACTACTGATTTGTTTTTAATTTCTAGTAAATTCTTTAATATCAATTCAAAAAATTAAGAAATTTTTCTTTAAAATAAGCATAAATTGTCTCGTCATAGTATACAAGAGATAAGTTAATTATAACCTCTATGTCCTTTGGATATGTGGTAGTATATAATATTTAAAAACCCATCTTCAAAATCATATGAATTTTTCTTTATGTGTATCATTGTATTTAATTTTAAAAGGAGACAATAAAGATTAGAATTTAAAGTTTATACATATTGCTATGCATATCCATGTCCATATAAGAAACATATTTGTCTTGAATGTTCATATCTTTATTTACCCATAAACAAACAAATGATTTATTAATTATTAGATAAGCGTAATAAGTATCCGATATGTATCCGAAAATAATGAAATATTTTATTAATTTTTGGATACATGCAATGCATATCCTCAAAGAACCGATGAGTATCGTTTCCGATACATGTACATCAACCTATACGAAGTATCTGACCTTCCAGATGCTTCCAGACCCAAGCGATGGGAGATTTCGGATGATGGCTCTCATCACGCCAACTGCCACTGTCCTTGTCTGATACCATTTGTAATGCCTAGCCAGCAAAACCCCCCTACTCACCTCTAAATCTATAAAAAAACCCTTTCTCTTTTTCATAATGAGGTAACCTTTCTAGCCCCTTTATTTATTATATTAGTAAAGCGCTAGAGCGCCCTTTGTATATAAAGGTAAGACCTTAGTTTTCCCTATCTTACTAATAAAGGGGGGGCGGTTCTTTTTGTTTTTTGTTTGTGCGTGTAGTAAGGAGATGTTTGGGATAAAAGCCCCTTCTCCCTTTTCACTACGAGAGAAAGCTCTGCGAGCTTCCCCGTTGCTCTATAGAAATGGATGGAAATGCCCGCCCGTTGTTCCAAACACATCTTGGAGCAAGAACCTCCGCCCGCCGGGTTAGACCTGCATGATTTTAACATGAGTGGTATATGAAGTTACAAAAGTCACACTTCTCAAGAGTTTCACATACTCCACCAAACAAAGTTGGGGTGGGTCAGGATAGCAGCAATGGGACAAGGCTTTCTTTTGTTTAGGACTTATGACCCATAGATGACTGTAAAGTGATGATTTTGGTTGTTTTACTAGCAGCTCTCTTAACGTTTGTTGGTTACCATCACGTGAGACTTGCAGCTTAGGCATCATCACCAACTACTTTTCTCTTATGGTGGACGGGAAATTTGTTGATGCTTTTGAGACCTTTTTGTTCACTGTTTGTTTCAGATCCATCATTTTTTAGTATATTTGTTTTCTTATACGAGCATCTGCTAGAAAGATTTGTGGCATGGGCTCTGTTGGAGTGCTATATTAATTCCAACAAGTCTATATTTTTAACTGCATTCAATTCAAAATGGATTTTATATACTATTTACTTAATTTATTACTTTTCCCTGTGCATATTTCTGGTTTCCCATTAGAAGTAATTTGGGTAATGTCTATCTGCTCCAGTCATATTTCTGTCCCTGGATTTGCTTGTTAATGAGTTGTGGACTGTCTTAGCACTCCATCTAATTTCTTTACAAAAAAAATTATTGCATTTTGGGTGATGTCAATGCACTAAGCTGAAGAATTACTCAATTGGGGTTCTCATCATTCTATGGTTTTCTGGCCGTGAGTTTGTTTCTCAGGAGATAATTCTTTATGTATGTATTTCCATCCTGCTACCCCCCCTCCCCTTTTCCAATGGAAAGCTAATTTCTATAAAGAGAACATTGTTTTAGATGTTTACTACTCGGTAGTATTATCTTTAATATATGATTTTTTTTTATCAGAATCTTTAATATATGATTGATGTGGTAAAAAAATTATGTGGCTTTTATTGAAAGTTATTAGTTGTCTTTTATCTCTTGATATGCTTATTTTGAAGGTTGTTGATTGTCGAGTTTGTGGCGATCCGCATTCACGCCTGCGCTTCGCATTTGTAGAGTTTGCTGATGAGCGTAAGTTGGATGTTTTGGCCTGAAAATCTTTTGTCACAGAGTTTAAAATGCATTTTTGCATGATTCCCCACATCTTACACTTGATATGAAACTGATATCAACAGAGTCTGCGAGAGCAGCTCTTAACCTCTCTGGGACAATGCTAGGATTCTCTCCGGTTAGGGTCTTACCTTCAAAAACTGCTATCCTTCCTGTGAATCCTACATTTCTTCCCAGGGTATGACCAAACTTGCTAGCCTTTTTCGTTGTGTTCCTATCTGTATTCAACTTGCACGACATAATTTCTTCCCTCGCGGTTTCAGTTTTTCAAGTTTATCCATTGGGATTTCCACTTACAAATTACACTCAATGATTAATTGAATTACAGTCAGAGGATGAACGGGAGATGTGCGCAAGGACGATCTACTGTACAAATGTTGATAAGCAGGTATGGACTTCTCTTTTTTTCTGACAGGGAACTGTGAATTTTCTGTTGCATCTGTTTTTCTGATATGATTGGGCGAACAATAAGTACCCCCTAAGAAAAAAATCCCTAAGACAGTGACATTTTATGGGTGCATCTTCGTATTTCATCTGATGGATATTGTACAAGTGATGGTATGCTTCTGCTTGTGTGTACTACTTGCAATCAGATTATTGAGTTGTTTCAGGTTAAAAGATTAAGTTTTGTTTTGTGCTATTATAAACTTAATGGATATATTGCTAATGCAGCTTTCTCAAGCTGAAGTCAAGAACTTCTTCGAAACAAGATGTGGTGAGGTCGGATCAGTGCCTAAAATTTGAAATTCTATCCCCAGTTTCATGAATGGGTTGATAAGAGTTTTCCTTAGTAATTGACTAATTTTCCTGCATGCAGGTTTCTCGCCTGAGGCTTTTGGGGGATCAGGTGCATTGCACCCGTATTGGTTTTGTTGAGTTTGCCATGGTAAGTTTATCTGTACAGCATAAACAATAGTGATAACTGCGTGGCTGCAATTGATTGTTCAAACTACATCTCAATACTTTCTTGGTAGTACGTGGATAGACCTAGCTTTTTTCTACTTAGTTTCTTGAAATGGTGCATTTCTTTTAGGCAACTCCAGTTAGTTAGTTACCTTAAAAAACTCCGTTAGCATGGGCAAAGTTGGAAAAAAGGAAAAACAAAAAATAAAATGGTGCAAATGTGCAGCATAACCCATTGTTCTCTTTTCGTTAGTTCCCTAATCCCCGTTCCCTTGTCAACATGATTTTTCTTTCTTGGATCCTTTACCATGTGTAAGTTCTTTGTTAGATTTGGAGGCTGATTTCTAGTCTTTTATTAGGTTCAGATTCAGATGTTGCTTATCTGGGAATATTAAGGCTTTCTATGAAGGACTAAATGATCATATAGGATGTTCATTAAAGAGGAGAGAGAACCATGTTTCACCATATTCTTTAAATATAACTTCAATAAACAATTGATGTCTACGGGTCTGTGTCAGGGTAAGAGTGAGGATGGCACATTTTTTGATCATACAAATCAAGCTGAAGAAGGATGAAAGAATCATTTAATAATCACTTTACAAGAGTATAAATTGTTCTGTTAATTTGAGGCACACTTAAAACTGAAATAAGTTTCATACAGTAAAAGAAAATTGATGTATATTTATATAAGGTTAGATCTGCGTATATATGGATGTGGCATTGTATTAAGGAAAAAATAGTGTTACGTGTCTGTACAGTTTCAGTGTAGGAGGCAGTTATGGAGTAATTGTAGTAGTTAAGTAACACCGAAAATCATTGTTAAATGCAAGAAAAAATAGAATGCTAATGGCACACGCGCATCGTGCACAATCCACCTCTAGCACATGTGGACAGTAGCAAGGAGTCCTTTTAATGATCATAGCACAAAATAGAAACTGAATCGACCAAGGAAAAATATGATTCCACAGAGGAATTAGCTTGGTTTTGTCATGTCATACATTTGATGATATCACTGGCATTTGATAATGTCTCTGAAATATCATTTCTACATAATGCTAATTATACAAACTGTATTTTTTTCTCTGGTACCTAATTATCCCGAAAAGAGTTCATTCGGGTTTCAATAGTTGTACTTGTTTTCTACACAAGAATTGAAAGTGAATGGATAACCATTTTATTTCTCAAACTGATTGTTTCCCTTGCTGCGCAGGCAGAGACTGCAATTCAGGCACTGGAGTGTAGTGGGGAGTTATTGGGATCACAACACATCAGGTAAATTCTCCAGAGGGTTGCTAAATATACTGGCCCATATTACTTTGAATTAGCTGATGAGTTTTATTCGCACTCAAATTTTTGCTATGTTGCAGGGTAAGTCCTTCGAAGACACCTGTGAGGCCTCGACCTCCTCGCCCTGCATCCATCAACTAGTCATCAGAGTCCAAACACCCATGGAAGAGATGCTGTGTATTCCATCTTGAGAGAGACTTGTCATGAATGGGTGTTGAAATTTCCCTTTGTTTCAATATTTCCGACTTTTACATTTCAACAGTAACTTTTTCCTGCAAGAACATCTCGTAATCGTGCTTCTGTTAAAGTTTTTACCGGACCATCCTTAACTGAAAAACTTTTATCGTAATGTATCCTTTGGTAAATCTAGTTTCTGTTATTGTCATGGTTGTGAGCAAGAGTTTCTGATAGTTTCAGCAACTATTTATTATCATGGTTGTGAGCAAAAGTCTTGCTCATGCTTGTGCAGGTGCTTCAAAGTTTACACCACCTTATGATTTGTGGTTCACTGTCTTACACCTCCTTGTGCAGTAATCTAAAGGCTACCTTATCAGAAACAGAAACATCAATTTGGCAGGACCCAAACCTGAGAAATCTTGAATTTCCTGAGCTTGAGCAAGGTCAGTATCCCCTTTTACAGAATATGTAGACCAGACTACTTATGTAGGACTGTGATACACACCTATATGTCTTCATTAGGCCAGGCAGTTTCAATTACACCATTGGAGCTAGAGATCAAAAGCAGACAAGTCTGGTATAGTTGATTTCTTTTCTGGTAAGTGTGGTCGATGTGTTAAAACTGTTGGTGAATAGTTCATATTCACTGATCACAAAAATGCAATGGCCAATAAGTCGAGTGGAGACTTTCTATTTCTACACTGGCATATTTGAGTTGTCTCCCTTCCTCTTTTCAATCAACACACTCGACACAGTTAGTTTTGGTGGCCCCTTCTTCTGCCTCTATCAGGCGGCGATAGCCTCCACTCCCACCCCAGCCACAGCACGCAGGTTTTGCTCCTGCTATTCAACTAGCTCTAGTTCTTCTTCCTTTTATTTCTGACTTTCATCATTTTCATCACAATCATGTTCCTCAAAAATATGGAAGACCTTAGTATTACCTTCGAATAAGTGACTATCTTGTTCGGATACTTCAACCTTCTTGTCATACCCTAAGCCCAGCCACCTAAAGACTAGTGAACTTGATGTTGAGGAAGAATGCATCATATCATGCTTTACTCACAAGATTGGTTCACTAGTGATGTCCCTATCAAATGGGGACCCGTCAACCCAAGCTTCATTCAAGTACAATCTCTTCTTTACGATCCTGTATTGATCTACGATCATCCAGTGGAGTGTGAGTGCACCAGAGGAGTATTGTCTCTCTATATATAAGTTAGAACCTGTTGGGACTTTCATATAGTGAAAAACAATTGTTCCGGTGGAAACGCGAAGACTGAACTACGTCAACCATTGCATTTATTATTCTTAATTACTTTTCTTTGTTGTGTTAATTGTTCAATGTATAGCACGTTCACAACAGTGTCTAGTTTATTCCAAGCATGAAGAGATTAAGAATAGGTCTTAAATCTAGTATAAAAAGGGTTAGTTTTTTTTCCCCTTATCACATATACATCTCGCTGGTTAAAGATATTTGAACCTCGAACCTTCCAATTTGGGAGTTGGGTTCTGAACATCTAGAACGTTCATCAAATTCCATTAGTGTCCATTGAATTTTAACTGTGGATTAGAAGTATATAGAGATTGTTACATCACGTGTAAACCTAATCTTTTTTTCTTGACTTGCCGTACAAGCAATGATACGGCATTTGATGCAGTTTGCAAGAAAGCAACGAGTGTTATTCAATGCAAGCTGGCTTGTGCATTGGTTGACCTTCCTCAAGAGTTGTAGTGTGAAATGATCTTTAAATAAAGTTTTAATTGGAATTGTTCATCTACTATTCAATCTTCTCAAGCCGTACTTGATGAAATTCACATCTCAAGTCAAGTTTAAGTTCGATTATGTTTATTTCTATAGTTTTCGGTGTTGATTCATTTATCAAGTTAAATTTGAAACGAATAGAAAAAATAATTGTTACATGTAATATTTATTTTTGTTAAAAAACATTATTACTAGCACTACATAGTTATGTGTAAAAAAATTTAATCTCATTTACTTCGAAATCGAAATTAAATTTTCATATACTATAGGTGTTAAAGCGTAAATTTAATCTCACGTATAGCTATAGAGACCCGATCTTAAATATTAAACGAATTATTGGGTAACGATCTTCACAGATTTGTCCAAGTCTAAGCCGTACTGTCCAATGATTCATCAAGCATGATTGTTCAGCCATTGCGTGCTTTGACCAAGCAGCCTTTCGACACTGTTTTTAAACGGTCAAACTTACATTTTTGTTGAACTGACAAAGGGCAAATGACTCAGCGGTTAGAGGGTTCAACTGTCAATTCTGCCGCCTATCCACAGTCCATGGGTGACGCTATAAGAGTGCCACCACTTCAAGCTAACCAGAACCCAAACCATAAACATCTCAACCACCATAAAGCGAGGACCTAATTATCAAACTTTCGCCGGAGAATCCCAAACCATAAACATCAAGCAACAGATAGCAAAGCACTGAGTATTACTTTTTTGACGGGAGAATCCATGTCTAGCGGTGGCAGAGAGACCGTGAAGGTGGTGATTATCAACACCCAATATGTAGACACCGATGCTGTGAGCTTCAAGTCCGTCGTTCAAAGGTTCACCGGCAAAGATTCGATGGTTGGGTCAGAATCATCGTCCTCCACAAGACAGATCAGGGTTCGAGGTGGTGTTGAAATGTCTCCTGCTAGTGATTCAGTTATTTCACGAGGATTGTCGTTCAAGGATTTTGATAGGTTACTCAAGGAGCTGCCACCATTGGATGAGCTTTATCGGCTATGCGCGGATTCAAATTAGCTTCTACACTTGTTTCATTATATTCGTTGATTCATTATTTGTATCTATATATACATGGACACATTTATATTATAACTCTCTCTCTCTCTCTCTCTCTCTCACACACACACACACACATATATATATACACATATAAATATAGATAGATGTTTATAAATGTGCAGATTGTGCGCTGCCCTTATAGTTCATAGCCATTTAGATACTCTCTCTCTCTCTCTCTCCTGGTTCATGAAGCACATAAATTGCATTTGCTGGTAAATTCTATAGTTTAGGAGTAATGTTATTTGAACCTAATTTATTTTAATTCATTGTAGTCGTTAAATTAGTAACAAGTCCTAATATTGAATGGCGGCCACTATCAATCCAACAACGGTAAGAAATTAGTTGTAACTTAATGTATTGGCATTCAAGCAAGCGCAAACATGAGGCAACGTCGCAATGAACCAGCGCCTGTGAGCGAGATGTTAACCCCAAAACAAAAGTCAAAAACAACAGAAAACCAAAAGCAAGAAGCAAGCATGATTGACCATAAGTAACACAGCCATATAACTAATATACAATTATTGATAAATTCTAAGAGTCTCGATGCCTATTAACTTGCAGAAAGATGTTGATCCACCCTTTGTCACAATATCTCTTAGAAATGAAGCTTTCTCCTTAGAAAGGAGAGAGAGATAAAGAAAGAGAAAGAGAAAGAGAGAGGACTTGGATAATCAATGAAGTAACCATCACGGACTAATCCTAATGTTAGGTTTGCATCTCATAAATTCATAAGTATGAGATTCAAACTTGAGACTAAATCTGTATAGAAACGGATTAGATACAATTCTTATCACATCTCTTAATTTGAAAGTATGAGACTCAAACTTGATACGAATAGGCTACGCATAACAATATGTATCAAAAAGTGAGAGCTTTTGCAAAAAAACAATTGTAAAAACCACCATGAAATACACCATGTTATTTGTCCCCTCATATTTCCAGTAATTAAGTGAAAAACCAAGTGGCCTCTAATCTTGTCAAAAAAAGTGGGCCTCTAATGGAAAAAAATAAGAGAAATCGTTGGTTCAGGGCTGCCAGGGATCTCCATATAACAGGCCAATTCAGCGGATGATACAATGGCTGGTGAGCTTGCGGGCCAACCCATGACCTGTGTTATGTATGCTGAGCCTTGGGGCTTGGTCATTTAGAGCATCTCCAATGCTCCTCGCTAGTCCTTTGCTTTAGCTGTTTTGGTGAGCAATCTTCAAAAATTCAGCTACAACGCCTTAGCTATTCACCTCGCCAAAATTTAGGAAGCCAAATTGCTCGCCAAATCTGGAGAGGAGAAATTTGCTTGCCAAATCTGCTGTGAAGCAGGTATTCATCTCCCCCTCCTCTTGCTCCTCTGCTGCTGTTGCCGCCTTGATCCTTCTTGCTGATCTTTGCGAAGAAATTTAGGAATTTTCTCTGATCTCCCCCTCCTCTTGATCCTCTGCTGCTGCCTTGAATATGGATTGCTCATCGCCTTCGGCTACTACTGCTGAAACCCCCCCCCCCCCCCACAATAAATTCTGAAAACTCCATTTTTTTATGTAATAGAATATTTAGACCCTATGAAATATTAATGTAAGTGTTTGAAAAATCTTAGATTTATAAGACGTATTGTGCAATTAATTTTTGTTATTTAAAGTGGATGGGTATTAAATTGTCATTAAATTGTATTATTTAAAGTTTATTAGAATTATTATTATGGTATAATTTTGGTTAGGTTGATGATTATACATGTTTTAAGTTGAATTTTTAAATTATATTATTAAAAATTAGTTAAAGTTAGTTGAAATAGTCAGTTAAAATAGATATCGTAGTTGGAATGAATTTATAAAAATGACTAGCTAAAATAGAAAATACAATATTTAAATATATTTTGATTAGCTATTTTATTGAGTATGGTTGAAATTGCTCTTATATAACTCTTAAAAAAAAAATTGCTCTTATATAGGTGAAAACTGGAAGCCAGACTTCATTTATTTTTCTTCTATCGTCTCTCTCTTTGGATTATCTTATATGAGATTAAATTCTGTACGGATTCCTTGTAAAATATTGGGTTTACAAACACCAAATAAGATATTGACACATAAGCAAAATTGGGACAAACATGTCTTGTTTCTCCTATCACTTTGATTCTTCTCTCTTGCATATCACGCGCACATATGAAATTGACGCCCTCTCTTCTTCCGTGCGTCACTGCCATCATCCCCTTTCAGTTCATCGTTGAGACTTATTTGGCATCATAAGAGGCTTTTGACGATGATCCAAATGTCTCTTTCCTCGATTTCGACTTGTTGTTAAAGATGAAGACATTGAATCGAAGGAACATTCCTATTACAATAAGAAGTTTTGTTACTTTCTAGGACTCCGACGACATCAAGGGTGACATAAATTGTGAGGGAGATGAATAGGGATCAAGATAAAACTTTTATATTATGCTGGAGAGGGAGGAGAGAGGTCGTGGGATATAGTTGGTCGGTTGTAGTGTGTAGGATGGCAGTGGACCGAAGTAGGGGCGGAAAGTATAATTTTCATCACAGCTTAAAAAAATTTTGTCCATCCCCGATCCACTTCCGTTAACGGGTATAATTTTCATCTTCATCCTCGTTTATAGGTAAATTTGTAAACTCTGCCCCTGTCCTGTCTCCGCTTTCACCTCCTTCCCCACCCTTGTCCACCTTACCTGCTCAAACCCAATCTCAAGTCAACATAATATAAAATTTTAAATAAATCTAACATTTTAAATAATTTAACATAATTATAAAATATCATAACATAATTAAAAGTTTATCATTTATAACATAATATAATTAAAACCTTGTCTACAATATAATCCAACAAAATATAATTAAAAGTTTGTCTCTCTTATAAATCTAACATAATATCATGCAGTACAATATAATTTAACATAATATAATCCAACATAAAAAAATATAAAAGCGCAAAAATCTACATTTTTACAAACCAAAAACAAGAAAAAAAATTAAAAAATAAAACAATTTCTAAAAAAAATTATTTAATAATATATAAATTTGTATTCACAACAACAAATAATAATAATAATAATAATAATAATAATAATAATAATAACGGACAAAGCAGGACGATGAGGGGCTGGACAGAGGCAGGGCGGGAGTAAGTGTCAGTCCACCCTTGCCTCCATTCCGCACGGATATTTTCGTACACGTCTACCGTCCAAGATATATGGATCATCCCAAGTTCAAAAGAAACAAATTTAAATGAATACCTATTTTTATCCGATAAACTTCGATCCTTAATAATAGGGAAGATATAATAATGGGCAATAGCAATGGCCGACGTCTGTAGAACATGCAGCTAGAGCACCTGTGGAAGACAACTTGCTTGAAAGCGATGCGTGTATGTATGGTGCCCGCATGAAGAGTGGCTTTCAGTGTTGCTAGATGTGGGTAACAGTAATTTTCTAGAGCTCTAGGCTTTTAAATACAGTAAGATGTGGGTAACAATAATGTATTCAAATAATGCTTATGTGTCATCGTCTTATTGGATGCCTGTAAAGCCATACCTTTACAAGAAAGCTGTAAAAAAACCTGTTCTCATTTCACATTTCTTTTTTCTTCCTTGCATTGCTTTCTCTTTCTTCTCTCTTTCATCTCACTCTTCTTCCAATTTCTCTATCATCTTTCTTCAGCATTCTCTCTTTTGTTTCCTATTTAAATTATTCTCCCTTGTATTTCTTCCATCTTACTCATTCCGTCTCCTGTCAATTATTTAAATTCTTCTCTCCTCTCTCTTCCATCTCACTCTTATTTAAATTCCTCTCTCTTCCATCCCACTCATTTTTTTCTCTTATCTCTTATTTAATTTCATCTCTCTTCTATCTCACTCTTCTCTCTTTCCTCAATTTCTCTCTCTCATCTCTCTTTCTCCTTCTCTCTCTCATATCCCATATTTAAATTCATATCTTTCATTTTTTCCTCCATTCCACTCATTCTCTCTCCCCTTTTTTTCTTTAATTCTTCTCTCTCATCCAACTTCCTTCAATTCACCACCATTGAATGAGTTAATCACAAGTGAAGCCAATAAATGTTGTTAGATTTTGTTGTGTTTTTATAAATTAAAATTTTAACTTTACAACTATAATATTAAATAAATAATTACCAGAGTTTAAATATTGGATTATAAGGAAAGGGTTGACATGCCTCATGCCACCCACCGTTCATTACACTTAAAAATTAAAGACATGATAAAAAAAGATAAAATAATTGGTCATATTATTTATTTTTTTTCTCCTTTAGCAGGTGCTAAAGATGTCGACCCTGTCGTAGTAAAGGGTAAAGGTTAAACAGGTTTAAGACGCTATTTAGGATATATAATTTTTTTTACTATATATGATGCTAATAAACTTGTGATAGTCCTTTGTACCAATTGATAATGCGATAGTGTCTAATATGAGTTTGGTTCTGTCTCACTATTTAGGATATAATATTTTTTTTACTATATATATGATGCTAATAAACTAGTGACAATTCTATCCCTAAGAAATAATGTCTAATTCTAAAACTACTTAAGACTGCATTTCATAATAGTTTAGAAACCAGAACTCGATCAAAAATGAAAGTCTAAAATTCAACTTCATGAAAATAGAAATACAATTAGAAGAGGAACAAAAAAGAAATTAGGAGGTGTAGTGGATGGCATTTTTTATCATTTCCTTACTGTGAATGTAAAAGGTTGTGCGTCAGATTTAATTCTTTCTTTTCATTGTAATTAGAATTATATCAAGGGAAAAGGTAAATGTCCTCCTTTCGTAGGTGTAATATTGATTCAATTAATAAAATTTTCTCGTATTGTTGAGAGGTTAAAAAAAAAAAGAACTTAACCTCGTTCGGACAAGTATAAAAAGTCTATATTTATAGAAACTCTACAGTTATATGGTTATAAAAAAAAATTTAAATGCCAATGAAATCTATATCTATGCTACTAATAAA